CCCCCCCCAATTCATACACTGAAGCCCTAACCCCTAGTACTCTAGAATCTGACTGTATTTGGAGACAGAGCCTTTAAAGAGGTAATTAAAGTTAAACGAGGTTATTAGGGTGGGGCCCTGATCCAATAGGACTGGTGTCTTATAAGAAGAGGAAGAGACCCCAGGGATGTGTGTGCACAGCGGAAAGGTCCATGCCAGGACACAGCAAGAAAGCAGCCGTCTGCAAGGCCAGGAGCAAGGCCTCAGCAGAAACCAACCCTCACACCTTGATCTCAGACTTCTAGCCCCCAGACTGTGAGAAATAAATGTTTATTGTTTAAGCCACCCAATCTGTGGTACTGTTAAAGCAGCCAGAGCTGGATAAGACACTGCTGTGTTACCCTTGAAAGCCACCTTTGTCCCCAAACCTGTTCATTCATTCAGCCACAATCTCCCCCAGCATCTGTGCTGGACTCTGCAGCCACAGAGGCCAGTAAGGTGCCTTTATTTTCAAGGAGCTCCCTTGGCTGTCCAGTGATTCCCAAAGATCCCATTAGTGCAGTCACCAACGCCCTTTACAACTGCTCTCACCTGCTCTTCTCCCTGTATACCCTGAACCTGGGTCCCTGATCATGTCAACAGTCCCCTTAGAGTGACCTGAACTGGCTGTCCCCGGCCCTCTCACCGGCAGCGATAGTCTTGCCATCTTTAGGCACCAGGTAGGTCTCTGGCTTTTTCACCCTGCAGGAGAGAACGGTCTGGGTTAGATGCTCGGCTTCCCACTGGGGAATGGGATCCTCCTGGTGGACGTACAGAACTTCCCACAAGGAAAAGGAATGTGGGAGACGGGGGCCACTGCAGAAAGTGGAGACTGGACTGGCAAGGAAAGGGCACTGGGGGTTACGAAGCGGTTGTTCTGCCAGCCTGAGGTGGGGACCCCAAGGAGAAGGCGCCAGCTATTGAAGACAGAAAGGGCCTCCTTCCCGAGCTGGATAGAGGGACGCCCTGGTCTGGGACAGGCTCCTGTCAGCTCCTGGACCAGCTCCCTCTTCTGGAGCCCGGAGCAGGTGTCCCCACACTCACCACCACCCCACACCCTACCACCACC